GTAGAGGATGTAAAATATTTTCGCAGTTGCTTCTACATCTGCTTTCATTGCCTCTGCTGGAATGTCGTCTGGTCCTGCTGCTTTGCTGTTCTTGATTTGTCTGATGGCCATACTGATCTCCTCAATCGTAGGTGCGCCAATATTAATTGGGAGGTCTGTGGATGCTGCTTCGATGTTGGGTGTGTTCAGTGGAGCTGGTCGATTCAGGAGTTCCTGAAAGTGCTCTACCCACCTATTTCGCTGTTCTTCAGTGTTGCTGATTATTTTCCCTTCCTTGCTTTTCACTGGTCGTTCTGGTTTACGATAGTTCCCGGCCAGCTTCCTTGTTGTTTCGTACAATTGTCTCATGTTTCCTTCTCTTGCAGCGTTTTCCGCCGTCATTGCTAGATCTTCCACATATTTTCGTTTGTCAGCTCTGATGCTCTTCTTCACTTCCCTTTTTACTTTCGTGTATTCAGCTTGTGCGGTAACTTTCTCTGCTCTTGTTCGGCTGACATTCACTGCTGCCTTCTTGTTCCTCCTTTCTTCAGTTTTTTCAAGAGTACCAACAGAGATCCATTCCTTGTTATTGTGGTGTTTCCTGTGACCTAGAACCTCCTGATATGTTGAAGTGATTGCCTCCTTGATCCCTTTCCCAATGTTCTCTTATGTTGCTTTCTCTCCATTGAGTAGATCCTGCAAGGCCTGGAACCTATTGGTGAGGACTATCCTGAATTCGTTGAGTTTTACGGTATCCCGAAGAAGGGCCGTATTAAACTTGTGTGATGTTGTCTGCCCCGTTGTCCAGTGCTTCTTTAGCTTCAGTTTCATTTTGGCGATCAGCAAGTGGTGATCTGAAGCTATATCAGTTCCTCTCTTGGTTCTCACATCCTCCATGGTCCTTCTGAACTTTTTGTTGATACAGATATGGTCAATTTGGTTTTGAGTAGTGTGGTCCGGTGAAATCCATGTGGCTTTGTGAATGCGTTTGTGCGGGAATATTGTGCCACCGATGACCAGTTTGTTGAAGGCACATAGGTTTGCAAATCTCTCACCGTCTTCGTTCCTTTCTCCCAGTCCATGTCGTCCCATGATGTCTTCATATCCAGTGTTGTCCATTCCAACCTTAGCATTTAGGTTTGCCATAAGAATCGTCAGATCCTTTGATGAAAATTTCTCAACGATTGACTGCAGCCTTTCATAGAATTGATCTTTGATGTTGTCATTGTAGTCATTGGTAGGTGCATAACATTGGATGACGTTCATTGTAGTGTCCCCTTTCTTTAATTTGAGGGATGCTTTAATGAACCCCGGTCCATGAGATTCCCATCCTATCAGTGCCTTTTGTGCATGTTTGGACAGCATCAGTGCAACTCCTTGTGTATGTGAAGCGTTTTTCGCTTCATAACCAGAGTATAACAGCAGTTCCCCTGAAGCAAGTCTCAGTTGTCCTACTTGTGTTCAATGTATTTCACTGATGATGAGCACCTCGAGGTTGTATC